CCTAAGGGTGAGCAAGTCCTATTCCTTCATGGTCAAGCCTCTCAAGGCACTGCTTCATAACTACATCACCACCCAGGCCTGGAGTGCCTTAGAAGAGGCAAGGAGGGAGCCTGCCCTGCTGATGGTTTTTAAGGATTTGGCATCAAAGGCTTGCTCCCAGATAGCCGGCCCTGAGTGAGTCCACATTTGCTGCACCATTAGACAGCAGGTGCTCAGGAAATACAACAGCTTCTTTCAGGCCTTTTCAGTCATCCTCAATGCATGGACTCCACTACGCTTCTTATTAATATCAACAAATTGTGGAGCAGCTAGAAATTTGATAGGAACTGAAGGAAACATTGGTTTCTAGGTACTATGGGAACTTCAGTTAAGGGGACTTTGAAATCCTCCAAAAATCAAAGGAACATCATTCTTTTTTGTTTGATGTTTTCATGTACATATAGATAGTGAAATGATTAAAGTCCGAGCAAATTAACATATCCATCTCTTCACATAGTTACCGATGTATTTGTTATCTAATATCCACTCTCTTTGCAAATTTCCAGTATGCAATGCATTATTACTAACCACGGTCCTCATGCTGTATGTTAGATCTCTAGACCTATTCATCAAGAAAAACCTGCAACTGTGTTCCCTTTGACCTACCTCTGCCGGTCACCACTACCTCCCCGCTGCTGGTAAGCACTGTTCTCTTTGTTCTATGTATTTGACTTGTGTTTAGATTTCACATGCATGTGAGATCATGTAGAAGTTTTATTTCTGTGTCTGGCTTACTTCATTTAGCATAACATCCTCCAGGTTTACCCATCTTGTTGCAAATAACAAAATTTCCTGCCTTTTTCAAGCTGAATAATATTCTGTTGTATGTCTGTGTGTTTAAATCCTTATCACATTTTCTTTATCCATTCACTTCCCGGTGGTACTTGTTTGTTTCCGTATCTTGGCTATTGTGAATAACGCTGCAATGAGTATGGGTTACAAATGTCTGTATGAGGTGCTGATTTTATTTCCTCAGGTGTATCCCAGAACAAGGATAACTCAGTCAGAGATGGGTTCTACTTTTAATTTTTTGAGGAGTATGTTTCTTTATCCTTAGCCATGTGTTTATAAGAGTTTTTCCTGAATGCTCTTCATGTGGGTTGGATTACTGGCTGAGCGGCTGGGTTCAGCTTGAGAATTTATGAGTGACTGGCCTCTGGATCCAAGGTTCTGGCAGTGGATGGTGCCCAGGAAACACCGCCCCTGCTCACCATGAGCTGAGGCCCACAGACGTTTGGGAGGACGTGGGATCAATGAAGGAAACAGCTAAATGCATGAGTACAATTGACCTGCTCAGTGACAAGGAAAAGCGCTCACAAGGTAAAAGAATGGGAAAAGTCAATTCCATTTTTGAAAAATCTGTCAGATTAATTAAAATACAGTGTAGTACAGGAGAGCTAATTAATATCCCCACAGCCTCTCTCTCCTTATCTGCGGCTTTTGTTCTCCTCTCACCCCCCTCCTTCACCTGACGGCGTGGATTGCTGGCCTTCCCTGATGAGAAAGTTTAGCACTGGGTAACAGCGTGGTAAACTGACACAAGCAATTAGTGTCTGTTTCTAGAACAAATAGAAACCAACTGGCTATTAATGTTGTCATTTTTAATCCTCTTAAATTATTTGATTAAAATAAAAGCACAAAAGCTGAGCGACAAGACCACACTTTATGGCATAAAAGATCATTAAAATTGTCCTTTTCTTTTGCATATTGTCAAAAATAAAAGTAACTCCTGAAGCTTCACATGAAGACATTCATAGAAATTTATTAAAGCTATGACACCAAATTACCTGAGAGGTTAAGCCGCGATATTTGACCGGTTTGCCTGTCAACATGTAGGCAGCTTCTACTATGGTTGTTAACCATTCTTGATTGGCCAAGACAGCTCTGCTTCCCAGGGGGAAACTTTTAGGATGAAAAAATATAATCAGAGGGGACCCTACAGAAGACAGAAGCCAAAAGGATTCCAAAACGGACCATCATGGGCGGGATTGTTTGGGAAATCTGCTCAGAGCCTGTCACGTTATCTGTCTGTAGCAATTATTTTGATAAATTTACCGCACACTTGCATCCTAGCACTTGCATGATTTCGTGGTGTGTCACCAATCAGGAAGCACAAGTCTTTATTTGGGTCCCTCCCAATGCAGATGAGGAGTAGAAGCAAGTGACTGTTTAATCAGGGGTCTATTAGAAAAGCCCGAAGCATCCTTGCTGTGGTTTGTCTCCTTTCATGAATACTGAGACTTGGTCTGTGGGTGTGAACGAAAGCTGTCTTTTGTTATTCAGCATCTTTCTGGCAGCTCCATGTCTTTCCCAAGAGCACCCAGAGTGCCAGCCACCATGGTGACCTTCCCCATTTCGAAGCCCCTTCCCCACGTATGTGGGCTGCTACTCCACACAGTACGCCAGTTTCAGTTAGCAAATTAGAGCAAAAATTGGAAAGCCGCATTTGCTATTTAAGTTGCTGAAGAAAATTTACATTTAAAAAGACCCAGTTAAGACATTAGGTGAAGAAATTAATGAGTTTTCTGAATCATAAAAGGGGTAGAAAAAGTTAAAAATCAACATGAAACCAAAATCTGGGGCTATCATTGGCGTCAAGGTCCAAATCCTGCTCCTGGCACATGGTACTGATCTGATGGTCAAACACTAGCCATGCTATGTGGGATATTTTGTAGTCTGTGTGGGTCCATAAAAAGGCAGTTGTTACCCCAATAGAGGCAAAACTTCCTGACGATGGTGAGCCTGAAAGAATGAGAGAAACAAACCCTGCTTTAAACACAAGGCTCTGCTCTTCTCATGAAAGATATATTTCAAGACAGCACAGTGACCGTTCAGTAGTGGAAGGAAAGCCCTTGTTTTGATACCCGCTCCTTTCCAGTGGTGCATACCCCTTTGCGCTGGTGCAGGCGACCCCAGGGCACTGAGCGCATGGTGTGCCTAGAAGCAAGCAAAACCCAAACCTCAGCCAGATAACTTCAGGCCACTGCAGGGCCTGGAATAGCACAGAGAACCCTTCCTGCTTTCTAATCTTAGTCTATTACTACTTAAAAGCTGAGCAACTCTGGACAAATTGTCTAAACTTCTGTTTCTCAGTTTCTTTACCTGTGAAATGGGCATAGCAATAGGAAATTTCTGGAAAAGTTGTTAAGAGGACAATTGAATCAATTCTTGAAAACAGCTTAGATCAGAGTGGCTCATATAGAGGTCATGAAGGGACTGTTAATTAAACAAAATAAAATATGGCAAGGACCTTAAAAAAAACAGGTATTAAATGTTACAGATAGGTTAACTGGTTATTCCGTAACTTCTCTCTCTCTCTGTTTCTAACAAAACAGGACAGTTGGTCACCCTAGTTGTGAAAGCATAAAAAAGCATAAAAGCGGAAGACTATGTAGTTTTTTCAGTTGGGGTTATGGAAAGAGAAGGCAAAACCGATGACAATTGAGTTGTAATATAAAATAGTTATGGTTTTGCCGTGAATAATTTGGTGCTTTGGCTTTCCAGTGGGGGAAATAGCATAAATCACAGCCTGAGGGCCTGGAACATGTTCGGGTAGTAGCACAACAGGCTGGGTGCTAGTTCCCAAATGCATTTCTCCAAAACCTAAAGATCTCTTTGCTTATCAAACATACTATCATATTCTGCTGATTTTAAGAGTTCATTCTCTGAAAATAGCTTTCAGTGGAGATGACAGAAAAATAATCTCACATTAAATGTGCATATTTATTACAAGCTCATCTATATTTGAGAAATGCTAGATTATGGGGTGCTTTGGGGAGTACCTAAAATCAAGGAAATGCTCTACAGGACAGAGCTTAGTCTGACACTTTTGGAGGCTGCTCAGAAGTGAAGACTCTGGCCAGCAGGAGTTACCTCATCAATGGGCTCTGCATACCCCTGAGGCTTCTATTCCTGGGATGGGCTTACAAGGGGCACTTATTTTGCACAGCCAGAACCTACACTAGTGCTGCTGAGGGATTATGGAGAAGATAGCATTTTACCCATTCTCAACATCTATCTAGAGAGTAAAAATGCCTCTGAGACAGCTGAGGAAAATTGTGATCATGTTAAAAATATATCAAAGTGGGCTGGCAATGCTAATTGTGCTGCAAAGATGTCCTGGAAAGGTACAGGCCAAGGGAGCGCTTGTAGCATGGGGAGCCTAGAGTTTTCTCAGCCTGGAGACTGGGTAGCGGTCACCTGTTGAATCTGCCCTGATTGTTTTCACTTTGTCCTTGTGCCTATTTGCCCTTTTTGTTACTTCCTGTGTAACCTTTCCTGTGTCTAAAGGTTTTAGTTTTTCATTTTAAAAGTGTAGCTCCTTTTTATCGATAGTGGTAGGATTTTATTTTGCCCAACTTTTAACTTCAAAACTTTCCCTCTGAAAAGGGAAAAGTCTTGTTCAGTCTGCTTGCACCAGACTGAGTGTGAGTAGCCACTTCCGGAGGAGGAAGTGCTAGCAGCTGACCTTTTGGCCCAGGTTACTCTATTGCCCACTACAGGGAAAGTTTTTACTTTCCATTCCTTAGGTTCCAACCTGGACATTCACATGACATCTTGGAAGAAATGTAAACCTGAGAAGTCCACTGCATTAACTTCTCTTGATTTACCTGGGAAGTATACACACTCTTACACCTGCACACATACCCATATACACTCACATGCACACACCCTCCAAAAGGCAGTATCTAGTGAGCCCCTTGCTAGACATGTCCTTGTGGTCAGTGCCATGTCCTTTTCCTACCTCCCCTCCAGAACAGACTTCCAGGTATCTTGATCAACTCCATCTTCCTTTTATTTCTGCTGAACTCCTAACCACACCAGCAACTTCTGGATTTTAGGTCTTTCAACTAATCTTAGAATTATAAGCATGGTTGCATCATTGTGGGTCATACTAATAAACAGTCCTTTCATTCCATAATAAGCCTAGAGAAGGATGTATTTGTAAAGCATTTAATTTGATGGTAATTGCCTGTCATTTATTGGGAAACAGCAAAAATGGATTCTATTTTGGCATACACAGACACTTTAAGGCCTTGAGATGTCATCACTTCCTTCAATGCTCTTTGCCAACTTCTGTTCAAGACTTCTTTGTTACTGACTTATTCACTCATTCTCTCCCCCGTTCATTTCTTCATTTGTGAATATGTCCTGAGCACCAGCCCTGCATAGGTTCTCGGTGGACAATGACAGCACAGTAGGAACACAGCTCAGATGCAGCAATTACTAAGTGCAGCTGGTTTTAGCCATTCCCATGATGGCTTTCCTAGCTTTGGACATAGCTCAGGGTGGTGTCTTACTCACTTTTATGCCCTCAGGGTCCAAAAGGCACAGGCTTAGAGCAGACAGCAGTGTCAGGGGAGGGGGGCCATACAATTAAAATGCAAGAACTGACCTTACCCGAGGCCCTGTTCGCACAACCATGTCCTTGGGACCCATCCTGACTGTGGCCTTTGACACTGTCATGTTTTGCACCACACCTTCTTCCGGGTTCATAGCTCTTGACTGTGGCTTCTTGGTGTCTCTGTGACCAGTGCTCTGCTTCCCTGTCTCTGCCCAGCCTGGACTGCCCCATCTTGATCCACACTCTTCTTCTGGCCTGAGCCTCTGCTGAGACAACAGCCTGCAGGAGTGAGGCCTTGACTCTCTGGGCTTGCTCCGCTCCCCGTCACAGTCACCAGAGAGCCCTGAGCTGTGCAGACCAGGAGCTCAGCTGCTGCAGAGAGTTGGGCGGACGATGGCCTGGCTTACCTGGCCTGAGCACTCAGGTGACTGTTCCCTGGCCTGCTGTGCACTGCTCTGCGTGCAGGCCAATGGTCAGGCCCCAGGAGGGTGGCAGGGTAACAGTCTGTATGCCAGCCCAGGGTAAAGGCATATCCCACTTGGCTGGGTCCATTTCTGGGGCAGGGAACCACAGCACCCACCTGGGCCACAGGTTCTATAACAGCTCGCAGTATTTCAGCTGGTCCCTGGGCAGGAAAACAAAGAGGAATGTGTGAGTGACTTGGTGATTTGTGAGCACAGAGTAAGTCAGTTATGTCTGGATTTGGAGCAGGCCCAGCACCTGGGCGAGTGACGGGGATGTCACGGGTCAGTGTGCACCAGGAGCACACAGTAGCCCTGGTCCTTTCTTGGCTGCCCTTCCAGACCCTTGTCCCCAACATTCTGTCCCTACAAGGCCTTTATCCCCGAGCCATTCTCACCCAGGGCTGTCAGATCCGTACTTTTCAACAGCACAAAATTCACTTTTCAAAATGGAACTCTGCCTCACTGGTCATAAATGTTTATTTTCTACTTTGCATATGTGGTGGGAGAGCAGGATTTTGCATTTTATCAACTTTTTAATATTCGATGGGGAATGTAAAAAGATGTGAGGAAATGTTTAAATTATGTATAGGGAAGAGCTGAAATCATACAGGACGGGAAAGTATGGTGTCCATGTGGGCCTGGAGCGCTACTCTGTCAGAATAAAACGCTTTCTTCACACCATCGTTGATGCTCTCTGACCTAGAGTTTTCACTCTGCTGATTAAGTAGGTATCCATTTGCTAACACAGGAATAAAAGCAGATAGATAGAGTCAGGTGGTCTGTTTCCTTTGTTTTGTTTTTACATCCTTTTGGTTCACTTCATGCATTCACTTGAGGAGAGCTTGGCTGTTGCCCTGGCAAACCCCACCTCCATATGCCACTACTCATACTTCATTACGTCAAACTCCAGTAGGACCAGAGCGCCTTGGGCCCTTCAGTTCCAGAGGGATTGACTTTGACATCTTCCCTCCACTCACCCCTTTCCTACTGGCATTTATGGGTGTGGAATGGATGTAGGAGGGTGGCTTGCCAAGCTTGGGCTGTGAAGGTTCTATAAGACCTCTTCACATACAGAGAGGGGGACAAAGAGTATTTCTAAGCCAAAAAATGAAAGGGCAGTTGTGTGTAAAGTAGCATGGTGTGTTTGGCAAAGAAAAAAAATCACTGGCTCCTGCTCCTGGTTAGTTGGGTCATGTATGACCAGCTACCACCTGTGGAGCTACAGCAGGCAGAGGCTGAGATCTCATCTCTTCCAGTTCTCTCATTCTTGGTATCAAATAATTTGCATTTCTTTTTTTCTCCGAAGACAACCAAGCAGCCAATCATTAACCACAATAGATAGCTAAAGCCCCCACAGTGTGACTTGTTCCTAATAGTTCTGCTGCTGGCTCATCTCATAGCTGGCAGCTCTCCCTCTGGAAGGGTACGTGACAGGTGTGGCCATAATAGACTAGAAAGGAAGATGTCTCACCCTGCGCTACACAGAGATGTTGACTTAATACTGGTGCTCCCAGCAATTAAAGCAGTATATTTGGGTAGGGAATTTTAATTGAAGAAATATAAAATGTTCATTGGTATAATGTGCTCATTAATTTAATATAATGTGAATAAGAAGTCACTTGAGATGGAAGCTGCAAATAGCCCCCACAGGGCTATTGCCATGACAGGCAACGAAGGCACAGCCTTGTTAGCCTGGTGGAAGCAGCCTCCCTATAGCCAGAAGAAAATGCAGCAGTAGCTGGGTGGTCAGACAGGACCTCCTGTTCTAATGATAGTGCCAGAACATGAAAAGTGAAGGCATAACTAAGGAATCTCAGGGGCTCAAACTGGAGAGCAGCTACCAATTCTCATTTTTTTTTTTGCTTTTTTTTTTTTCCAATACCGGGAATTGAACTCACGACCTTGCGCTTGCCAGGCAGGCGCTGTGCCACTGAGCTAAATCCCCAGCCCGCTCATCTTAATATTATTAAGGTGGAAAGAAGCTTCTGATTTAATTGGAATTCTTCTGCACTATAAAAAGACAGTATTTGCAAAAATAATACAAGTAATGATAAAATAAAGACTTGTAGCACAACAAATATAAAGGGACTTAAGAAGCTACAGGAAGCTGGTCGTTGTGGCTCACACCTGTAATCCCAGCACTCGGGAGGCTGAGGCAGGAGAATTGTCGCAAGTTCAAGACTAGCCTGGGCTACAAAGTGAGTTTAAGGTCAGCCTGAACTGCATAGCGAGACCCTGTCTCAAAAAGTCAAAAAAAAAAAAGAAGTCACAGGAAAATCAAACAAAAGCTACTGTGAGAAATCTACGTATAGTTTTTACACACTGGGCCACAAGTGTGCTTCCATTTTCTATTCACTGAAAACAGTGCCAAATATATGCAGTATAAAATGCTACTACTGACAACCTCTTCTGGAAACATCCAGATGACACACTAAAATCTTAGAGCCCTTTAGAGTTTTCCACGGTGTTTCCACATTCTGCTCAGGAAATGGAAGGTAGGCACAGAGCCTGGCTGTACCCACCCAAAGGCCTAGCTCAGAGATGACCTGACAAAGAAAGGCAGACCTGGCTTCTCCTTCTTAGGACAGTCAGTTTTTTGAGCTCCTCTTCCACCTCTTACTTTTGCATAAAAAGACCTGATCCCTAGCTGATGATTTCAACAAAAAGGAAGATACTGTGGGATGATATGGATTCTCCTCCTGAGCTCATTTCCCATGATTTAATTGAAACAGCATTGGCTTTCTCTAGAAAGATTTATCTTATTCTCATTTGCACATAAGAAGTTGCCAAATAAAGGACAATTTCCAAACATTCTCACCCATGCATAAATCATATATGTTTGCCAGACCAATGAATAAGATAATCAGGACTTTAGTGTTATAATTTGCTCTAAATATCTCAAAAACTTCATAGAGTAATTTTTCTGTGCTTTGCATTAGAGCTTTTGCCAATTATTATACAGCTCCTGATAGCTACTGCTAAAATACTCTCCCTGCAATTTTGCTAAACAGACACCCACCTATGTCTCATGTTGAACAAGAAACAGGTCTGCCTGCCTGACCTCATTTTGGAGCTTGTCTCTAAACTGTGTTGTTGAAGGTTTATTTTACCTCTATTAAATTATTCCCTATTTTGCTTCCTATTTTATTTAGGCTTTATTTTTTCTGAGTATATATCAATTTTTATTCCTTCCTGTATTTTCTCCTACATTTTAGTATCTTAAAAGCAGGGAAAATGCTTTCAGTGCTTGATGATGATAATGGGATCTAGTGCTTTATTCTTTGGAAGGAATTTAGTTAGAATATTCCCACATAAGCAGGCAATTGTTCAGATATTTGAGGAAGAGTTTAGATTGTAGATTTCCATTAAGAAGAAGAACCATCAGTGGCCCAGTGCCTGCCTGGCAGGCAAGTGCAAGGTCCTGAGTTCAATTCCTGGTACAAAGAAAACGAAAAAAACAAAACAAAAGATGAGCTATATTTAACTGATGGCTTCCTGTTGCTTATCCTGCTGCTATGCTGGGTGAATATCTTTTGATCAGGAAAAACTATATGAAGTTTGACTCTGACTTTTGATTGAAGGGCTAGATGGTATATGATCTGGGAAGTTTTACTGGGTCCAGTGCTAAGAAGAGTCACACATTTAATTTTGCTTTCACTATCTTGAAATTCTTCATATTTTTCCTTGGAGAAGTGGTGTACTCTTATTATGCATTGGACTTTGTAAATTATTCAGCTGCTCCTGCTATTGGGGGTATACAGAGAAAATCTATGACACTTTTGCGATCACTGCAGACCTGCCTTCATGATTCTTTTAATATATCTTAATCCCCATATTTTGTCTTTAATGTAAGACTTAGCTTTACATTAACACAAGATACAGAATATTCTCAGAAACTAAAAAGTCATTTCTAACACAAAGCTTATCCTGTCTTAGTGACTTTCATCATTGCTTGGACAAAATCCCCAACATCCACAAGTTAAGGAGAAAAGGTTTATTTTAACTTACAGTTTGTAGAGGTTTCAGTTCATAACCACCTGGCTCCAAGGCAGGGAAGCATGGCAGAGGGCCATGACAGAGGAGAAACTGTCCATGGCAGAGGAGTTCAGAAGCAGGAAGCAGCAGCAGCAAGCTGTAGGCCTCTCTTTCTCTTTTAGCCCATCCAAGCTACAAGGTTTTCAAGTGGTGCCACCCACACTCAGAGTGAGGCTTTCCATTAACCACACCTATGCTAACCAACCGGGAGACTAATCCATAGCACACACTCTTAATCCCAGTATCATACCCTTAATCCGCATACCTTAGATCCAGCCACCTATGAGCACATGAGTCTTTGAAGGACCATATAGATAGATACAAACCATAACACAGATATAGGAGGGCCTTTTATTTATATTCCTACAGCAGGGTTGAGTGTGGATATTTTTATTAGAAACCTATTTCCTGCAAAGAGACTGTGATTTCCTTGAAGGCAAGACAAGTAAGTATCCCTTGGATGGATGTCACTGATAAAAGGAAGACTCTATTTCATGGGACAGAACCAGAAACTAAAAAGTTTGATGTGAGTTATGCTGATGGTGAATTCAGAAGGATATATGTAAATGTTCAGCTTGATTGCCCAGAAAGTCTAGGTGTGCTCAGGGTGAGCAGACAGAGTGGCACCAGGCACTAGCATCATTCTGCTCAGTGCATGGTCCCTGGCAAACACTTAGGATACCAAGTCCATTCTGAGTAACACATGCTTTTAGGGAATATGATGGTAAGTCTTTTTCTTACTGATCTCCCAGATGGAGTTATTGAACAAACACTTATTCATTGCAGAACATGACAGTTAGTCCAGTGCGTGATATTGGCAAGGAAGGGTTGCAATGAATGGTGGAGACTGCCAGGATGACAGTTTCATCATCTATGGGTTTCTATGGGGATCTTGGAAGAAATGGCATCTACATGGAGTGAGGCCATGTAGAAGTGGGTCGGTGCAAGTGCGTAAAAGTCGTGTTAAGAACAGTGTTTGTTGGGCTGGAGTCTAGGCAGACTATGGCATGTCTGAAAACTTTTTAGAATGGCAACATGGCTTCATGGTAGGCTTAGGAGGTAGAAAAGCAACAGAGTGGCAGGCCTGAGAAGTAAGGGCTGTGCATGGCTTGATAAAGAGTAGACTTGATTCTTAGCTGACAACTGACAGAACAACTGTCCATCACCGATGGTCCCTGGCCAGGCTCTGTGCTGATTTTTCTACAGATATTATCTTATTTAGTCCTTTAAGTCATATCATGTTAAAAATATTAACCCAGGGTCTCTTCTGTTCTGTTATTATTATCAACTTTTAATTTTGAAATTCTTTTAGGGTTGGCCTAAATACCCTTCATCCAGTTCTCTCTAGTATTAATATTTTGGATAACTATGGGAAATTAACATAAGTACAATAAGATGAATTAAACTACAAACTTTACTCAGATTTCACCTGTTTTCCCTACAGTGTCCCTTTTCTGTTCCAGTGTACAATCCAGGACTGTGTGTTTGATTTAGTGCTCCATGATATCAATATCTAATTTATTACTGTGGAGGTGGAGGGAAGCCTTGAGAGGTTACATGACTGACTCCAAGGCCCCACCTTAGAAAGATGAGTCATCCTGGAGGTCTTACCTGATTCTCCTTCCAGGTGTGTAACCAGCAGCGATGCTGTCTCCTTTGAGGCAGGTGGACAGGTTGGGGTTCCATTCCTGCTCCCCTAGAAGGGGTGCAGAATTGTCCCTTTATCTGTCCAAGGATGTAGTTCAAGCCATTAGTGTAAACTCACCTTTTCTCTATGATTCTGCAGTATGTGTCCTAGGAAATGGTTATGATAAAGATAACTAATTAAATAAGTGCAGAAAAGCAATGGTTCCTTTTGACTCCCTGACTCTTTCCTGACCTTCATTCTACCTGACCATGGCACCCTGGCAAGGTTGAGGAAGCCCTATACTCCTGTCTGCACTGACCTCTACCTCAGCATGGACTCCATCTGGCCATGCAAAACTGTTTCTTGGAATTTCACATTCTGAAGATAAGAGGGTTGGGATAGTATGTGGCCATGGAATATTCTATAGAATAGTTGGCAAGAGTGGCTCACGATGAAGGAGAGGGGGAATTGAGGCCCTGGGGACACTCTAGCTGTTGCCATGTCTCTCTTTGTTTGTGCATGACATGGTCTTGTACAGGAAGTGCCTTAAGTGTGCTCAGGTTTGTTGCATATACTCAAAATGCCCCTAATCTTCCGAAGATGTGTCTGCAGGGTCAGTCACTTTCTCTACCAGTGTTTTTCTCCTGCCTCAGAGTTGGTCCCAAGAAGTTCCTCTAGATTTGACCCCTTCCTTTTGACTATTTCAGATAGAAAACAATAGCAAAGTCTCCTATTTTGAATTCTGAACCCCTTCCAACTTCTCACTCTTTTCCATTCCCTTATGTGGCTAGTGGAGACAGGACAGGGTAGGCAGTGGGTTGATGATTGCCAGGGAAATTGGGCAGTAAGTATCTGAACCATGGATCCCAATGAGCCTTGACAACGTAGCTCATGGAAGTGGTCACAGCACTCAGCCCTGGGCTGTAGGCTGCCTCTCCTGAGCCTGAAGCCCCATGGGAAGCCTTAGCACCTATGTGGAATATCCCTCCTATGAACTTGATTCAAAACTGGTCTTTGTTTGGGGATTTGTGGAATTTTTCAGATTCTTGGTTCAAGCAAAGAATTCTCACAGCACTGAGTAGTGTGTTGACTAGTGCACTCTTTAACCACTGAGTTACAGAGATAAGTGGCAGGTTTGTATGGTGAAGGACACCTGGTAAAAGGGATCCTTGAAAAATGGCTGAGTTTGTATATATACAGAATTGCATTTACAATTGCATCTATGTATACATTTAAAGTGGTGTGTGTGTGCATGCACACACGTACATGCAAATATGTGTAAAGTCCTCAGGCTCCTTCCTTAGTTCTACACGAATCAGCCTTACCTAACAACTGTTGAAAACTATGTCTGCCTGGGGAGAAAAAAAGGTCTTTGAACAGCTGTGTTGCAGAATATGGCTACAAACTAAACTAAGGCCTCCGTCCATGCCAGTCACTTTCTATGTCCTGGAAAAACTAGGAGACAGACCTGGAAAAGGTACCTTCATATGCAGAGATGTCCTTTTTTCTGTCAAAGCTGATCGTTCAGAATAAAACGAACTTTCCAATGTCAGGAAGGCTCAGAGCAGTGATGGACCCCAGATAAAGGGAACTCCTGCTCATTCAGATACCAGATGCAGCGCCTTGTCTTCTGGGGCATTGCTAAGAATGCTTTGCAATTGAAATAGATTCTGGACAAAGCTGGAAGATTAAATGAGCCGATGTAATTTATGAAAATTCCTGATTACCAACCACCTAAATATTTCCAAACACTTTTTCTAAAATGCAACCTCTTCAGCATGTAATGAGATTAATTTTCCCATTAGTTCTAGTATTTTTTAAAAAATTGGTAACACTTTAAGAGTCCACTCATTATACATTCACTTGGTATTCATGAAAATAGCAGTGATCATAATGAATTCATTTGGTATTCATGTGGCTGTCATATGCACTTGCATAAAGATACTTTTGTAATGCATCCTTTCTTTGGCTAGATGCCTTTTTATGACTCCAACTATTTCATCTGATTTTGCAGCCTCCAGAAGGTGGTTTCTTCCATGTATCTGGGGCTTTGTCTCAAACTAAGCTCAGGTGCTTCAGAAAATATTTATTCTGATACAACATTCATCTTGCAACTCACAGATTCACACCTACCCAAATCACATAAGACCGTGAAGTTTGTGAGCCCTTCTTCTCTCCAGCACATCGGTTATCTCATTGTGCTTTATGTACTCCCTAAATATTGATTGAATCTTTGAGCCTTTAAATCAATATCCAGAATTTTCTCAACCAGGTATACCCAAACTCTCTAACCTTCAGGACAAGGAAAGCAAGTTGAATATCTGTTCTTTTCCATCTAGGTGGCTCTAACAGCTTGTCTTCAGCAAGAACCATTCAGGAATTTGGTTCCCAATTCATTTAACACAACACTGAGCTACACCCTTACTAGCTTTACAGTGAATATGACCAGTCGTTGTTTAATCCTAGAAATTCAAAACTAAACCAGCCAAAGTGTTTAAAGTCAATAAGATGAGGAAGAGAGCAGCCTTGTACTTTCTCATGCAGAGCTTTGCAATATACTTCTCAACCCTTTAGTATTTCATGTCCTCAAAAATTCTAAGAGATGGACCTTGTCTTCTCCATACCATCCGTGGGAAATATGACGCTCAGAAAAGTTAAGTGCCTTGACCTGATAGCAGCAAAACTAGAATTTAAACAGGTATCTGTTAACTTGCACCAGGTGGATCTGCTTTTGCTGTCTCCCATAAAAAGAGAAATATTTTGTTTTAAGGAAGGAAAGGCAAAGGCTGAGGTCATCATGGAGTGATGTGGAGAGATTGGAAAATTCTCCTGACTGCTCCAGTGGTCCTGACCAGCCTGTCTCCAGGGGCTGGAGAGAAATGGGGTCCCAACAAGCCCCACTGTCACCCCAGGTCATGTCAAAAGGTAGACTTCTCTCAGCATGCCTACCCGAAAATCACATCTTGGGGTGTTAGCAAAGGTCTAGCTGAGCTTGTGTGCCCAGCAGCCCAGGAAACTCAGATTGCAAAGTGAGGATTGAGGGCCATCAGGAAGAAGCAGCTGTGGGAAAAAGATCACATGCAGCAAGGGACTCCACAGCATCCTTCTATCATGATTTACTCTTATGTTGTCCCATCCCTAATCAAATGCATTATCACATATTTAGTTTAATTACCATATCAGGTGGAAATTCATTTTTACTGATACAATTAAATGACTGGCAAATAATGTATTACAAGTGGCTTGGAATCAGGTGAACAAAAATCTGAAGGTAATTGATGTGAGACTCAATTGGTCTGATAGAAAAATTGATTGTTTTAGTTGTCTCATGGGAACATCTCTGCTTTCCTCTTCTGGCTCTCCCCTGTCAGCTAAGTGTCAGTCAACAAAGGTGCCTAGATCTTTGCACCTAGAGTTCAGTATGCACCACCTGTGTGGAAGGAATGTGCATAACTCTAGAGAGGGGCTGTGTGGTCCCCCTCCTGGCCTCTGTCCAGTTCCTCCCTTAATTCAGCTGCAGGCACATTTGCTGCTCAGAACACATCTCAGTTAAACTAGTTAAAAAGGTGACACCCATAAGTCCATTGTGCAGTCAGTACAGACAGACCTGACACTTCAAGTCTACCTACCTTCTCATAGAACTACCCAATAATTTCTAATTTTCTACATCTCTTTTATTTAAAAAATTAAGTTTGGTCTAGTTGTTTTATTTGTGTAAATGATTGACAATAGTGACTCCAGTAACTGGGTCGTGTGTGTTGGAGCTGATTATTTCCACTGGAGAGTTGCCCCAGTACAAAAGCCCTCACCTTCCAACATCTTGATGATCGTCTTTGTAATATCAGTACATGGCCTCCAAAAGCTGTTCAAATATGTACTGAATATCTTCACATGACACCAAAACGGGCCAGCTCTTCACCAGGCAAGCACATTATTAATTTCTTCACAAAATATCTGAACAAGATTTTTCAATTAATTTTTTCCTGTTGTGTTTGCCTCCACCTGACACCACAGATGTGATGTTGTCTTTTTCACAGCTGGAGACCAACTAAAATGGCCTCTGGGATAATGTGAATATGTCAAGCAACAAAGATATGGCATTTAAAGCAAGAGAATGCCTATATTCGTGCCGAAACTTTGCCCTTTCCTCGCGTTCCTTTCCTAGCTCGTTCAGATGAGTGTCTGCAATTTCCTGACCTACCAATTAGTTCTTGAGTGAGCAGGTTGGAAAACTACCTCATGTCACATCCGTGGCTAATACCCTCACTCACAGGACCTTGACCTCAGCCAGCCACCCTTCTCACGGCATGCAGAGTGATGAATAGTGCCACTCTGGACTAATTAGGGTTTGTATGTTAATCCTCACCCAGGCACTTTCTCTTGACTTTGATGTCATCCAAACTCTGGTTATTTGCTGCCTGTACAAGAGATCTCTGTGAGCTCTTACGTGCGCTCGTGTGTACGCATGCGTGTGCTGACCTCCGGCCGTTATGAACAACAGGGGCTCCACTGTCACCGCATCCGAAGCATGGGCATAGAGCCTGTAACTCTGTCTGTACTGTGTCTATTTATGTCCACACAACTTCTAAATACATCGGAGCAAGTACATTAAGTCACACTGATGGCTTTACAATGTAAAAAGAAGGAAAACTGATTGTTTGAACTTCTTTAAAAATTAAGTTTGGTCTAGTTGCTCTATTTGTGTAAACAATTGACAACAGTGACTCAAGTAACTGGGTCGTGAGTGTTGGAGCTGATTTTTTTCACCTGAGAGTTGCCCCGGGCCCAAAAGCCCTCACCTTCCAACATGCTTTCTGCGGCCTCCTAGCAAAACCTCTGGCATGGTATCCCTCAGTGGAATGCCTCCTTGTGGGCAAAAAGGTGAGACATGTGTAGTTTGGTAAAGTCTTCTCCCTCTGCTGCTTGATATATTTAGGTCTTTGCATTTTTAATTCTCAAGCTGAAGTTATCTATTTATAGTCTGAATTACTTATTCAATTCAAATACTTTATTAAGCATTTGTTTAACAAATAGTCACAGGCCTCTGTCTAGAAGAGCTTCAAGGATTCCTTTAGAGAGAAAATAAAGCTTGTCTTTTTTGGTCCTCAATGAATGCCACTGACCATAAGACAATAAAAATTTTCCCACAAGAATTAAAAACATCATACCACAGCCACATAAGTGTACCCATGTTTACAGCAGCACAATTTGTAATAGCTAAATCTTGGAAACAACCCATATGCCCATCATTAAGGAACAGATAAAAAGATGTGGTATTTTATTCGATGGAGTATTACTCAGCTATAAAGAAAGATAAACCCAAGGTTTTTATAGGTAATTGGATGCAACTAGAGACCATACTCATTAGTGAAATAAATCAGATCCACATGTGTAAACACTGTATTGTTTCCATAGTGTAAGAAAGTAAAAAAGTAAATAAGATCCAAACGGTAAAATAGCTAAAATAATTATAGTACTAATTTCTATTATTTCATTGAAAAGAACAGTTACTGTCTATATTGTTGGATCAATCTTACCTGCCTATATGTGGTAATCTAAGCAACTACTTTGAAGATAACAATATGCAATATAATAACCATTGTCAATTTCCTATCATCTTGTTTTGAAATTCTGTATCATTTTTATTGTTTTTTTAATTATTTCCTTTGAAATTTAAAAAAAGGGGCAAAATTATGTGTTTCCTCTGTACTATCTGTTTGCCATGCCCTCCTGCCTTAGAACCAGCTAATGGTGGATTGATACATCTACAAACTCTGAACCAGCTAATGGTGGATTGATACATCTACAAACTCTGAGCTAAATAAACATTTCCTGCTTTACTTTGGGTGTCAGACATTTTGTCCCAGAAATGAGAAAAGTAACTAAGACAGTCACTTTTTCTAAGGTACAGGCCATGAAGCATTTTGTGTTCATTTATGATGCCACTGTAATTCCAAATAGCAAAAATATTGCAACAGCTTTCCTTTTAGCCAGCATCCAAGCAAACCCAAAGTTCTCATAGGAAGAATTTGTTTTATATCAAGAGCAATATATACTAGTAATCAAAGTGAACCCACTTTAAAAGTGTGAACTACCTTCAGAAAATAGAAACAGCCACAGGTTCTCTGTGAGTGCATTAGTGAACTTGTATTGCTTTTTGTGGGTTCAATGTTCAGGCCACACATCTCCTGCTCTATGGTATTCCTATTTCAATCAGTAGCTCTCTTGGGACCACTAACCTCCAGGCACCCAACTTCGAGTAAAGCAATAATCTAAACAGAGGAAATGTGACCCAGATAAGACCAGTCATAGTCTATAATACCTCTGACCCATATATGCCACAGGAGAAAATAGTTCATTCTGCTAAGGCTGTGAATTTAAGCCTGTCCTTGTCTCCTTTTCCTGCTGTGAGAAGTCTGTCTGTCTGCAGAATTAATTCATGGGGGTGTTCAAAAAGAAATGAAAAGCACATGTGATGAAAGATGGGGGCCCTAGGGACCCCAAGTCCTCTGCACCCTTCAGGGGGTCCCTGCTTACATAGTTTTTCCAGCTTCTTTCCCTGACACAGGAGGTAACACCCTCATGCTTTGCATATGTTCTTTGACTTGGGTGTTTGTCACCTGAAGTGAGAAGAACCCTGACCACTGGCAGTGGTTTAGCACACTTTATCAAAGCCCAGGTTTTTTCTGTGCTTCAAGAATCCCAAGCATTGAGCCAGGCCCAGCATCACTATCTACATTTCATCTCAGGAAGGGAAATTTAGTTCACTGGGTTTCTCCCATCTCCAGGAGCTATCTTCACCTCTGACCACTATGAAGTGATTTTTGTTGTACTAAAGATGGCTCAGGATGGGTGTAGGTGATCCTGGCTGGACAGGGCCATATCCTCAGTAGGCTCTGCCTTCTGCATTATCTCTCAGCACAAATTCCATCTGATTTCTTAGGCAGCCCTTTTCTTTATAACCGTGCTCGCTGGTTTATTTCTCCAGATGTTGTGTGATCTCATCTCTTATTAATGTCTCTAGGATTTGCTACCACTGGGGTCAGACGCACTGTCTCCCCCTTCTTGGTTATTCTCCTGCTTACACTTTCCTAAAAACAGGAGTTTGTCATCCTATAATCTGTCAGGATCTCTCATTTCCAAAACAAGCCTTTAAAGGTATCTATTACTGAAAGACCAATTGCTTTACCCACACTGTGAATGATTATGGACAGAGAATAATTAACTGAGAATCTTATTTCTTTTCTAATAGTTTAGCTTTAACGATTGGCCCATTGGCACCTGGAATTTTTTCCCCCACTCTAACAGCTGGCTAATATTTTTGCCCATTCTGTTATAATATTTGACATTGCTTTTTGTCTATTTTGCATGAAACTTTGTTTTCCTTTTCAAAAAGAGTCCTCTCAAACTGGCGATTCAGGATGATCTGACCACATGGCACATAATGCACTTCTAGCAGCCTCTTGTCTCCGATTGCTGTTTTTCTGTTGCGACCTGTTGAACTCAAGGCAGAGAAACCAAGAGTCCAACTGCGCTTGCGCACAAGTGAACTTTCAGTTGGGCCCCTGGTCTGGCTGGAATTGCAATCTGGGGTCTTTTTCTTCTTTTGACATGACTGTGTTTCGTCAGCCAGGAATCTTTGCCTGTGATATGTGGCTAGAGAAAGGCTCTCTTTGTCTAAGTCATTGTGCTGGGAAATTGCAGTCTGGAGTAGAAATGTATCCTGTCAGCTCCCGCGTGTGTAGACACAGCCTGGGCAGCTTTGTGCCTCAGTCTCCTCTCCTAACACAACCCGTGGGAGCCTGGAACATGACAGCGGGGTCATTGCTTTCTACCAAAATATATGCATCTTAAATGAATACTTTGCCTTAAAAGAGTCATGCCCAGAGGGAATCTTTGCAAAGAGGAAATAAAATTTGAATAAGCAAGCAACCTCTGTGTCCAGGTAGAGCCCTCCAGCAACAGGGGACACCCTTTCAGATGCCACAGATCATCCATCATCATCTCCTTGGCATTTGACTTGACTTTTTGAACAGAGCTTCTATTTCTAGAGGACAAGAAAGGTGTTTCTCATTTCCATTCAAGATATAGTAAATGAGGAAAATCACAGGAAAAGGTCTGAGCTAAATATGATTGGAAGAGAGAAAATCTCTTGGCCCTTAGCACACTGAGGGCTTTCCTCCTGCCGAGGGTGACCTTTCATAAATGGACAGGCACGGGGGATCCTCTTTGCCTCTGGAGCTGGAAAGAATCACTCACCTCCATAGTAAAGCTGACACCCTGATCACATTCCCAAATTACCAACCCTGCAAACTCTGCCAGAACTTCAAAAATGGCAGTTTTGTCCTAGTAGCAGGATTCAGAACACACAAAAAAGATACAGATTGTAACTTCCAAACTTCCCAGGTTGATACTGACTTTAGTTCATGCCTATCAAAACCTCGTGAAGGAGATCACTTGTTATTTTCTCCTGTTATAGTACTTTTCCCTCCAAACATCATTCTTCTACTTGCAGAGAGGGCTGTTTTTTTCCCAGGCTACCTGCCAAAGCCAAATCACAATTAAGAGACCACGGATGCTACCATCAACAGCGTAAGTAATAGGCAAGTCTTCGGAGGGCAAAGGAACTTGTCTCTTAATTTTCAAAGGATATGCTTTACTTAACTGAGTCTAATTCATTGTAGTTTTCCCATAAGCAATAAAAGTGTTACATTTGCTCTCAATTTTAAACTCACTCCTCAATGGGACCTGGTCTTCTAAAACTATCTTTCAGTGATATCCATATCTTATCCAGCACCATTCCTTTTTTTTTTTTTTTTTTTTTACAATAGCTTAAATTGGACACAGATCTGCTTGTGGTGTTTGTGGATGTGGAAAATCCCTGCCTCTGAACTGCATACGTGTGCATTATCTGCCAGCCTCACTCCTTGGCTTGCTTGTTGCTGCTCATGATGAAGCATCAGGTTACTTGGTGTTGTGGATATTGAAACACAGCTTCACTCCTGTGTTTTCTAGACCAACTCGTTTTAAAGCTTTTTATCATGCCTTTACTGCACGGACAGATTGTCAGCTTAATTACTCTGCCTTGGAGCCACTAATATGCCTGAAGTATCATTTCTGAGGAGGAAAAAAGCCAAAACAGAGCAGCTTGCACTGACGGAGACATGATCACTATAAACACACAGCTCAACATGTGAACACTAGTGAAGCTCTGGTTTTATTTATTTTCTGAGTTTTATTTATCTGACATCTTCATGTTGAAGCTATCTTTCCCAGCCACTCCCAACCATGTTTTTGAAGCAAATGCTGCTTTTCCCTGAGAATCTATAGCATTCATTTCCTAAAATGGGAACTAAATGCCCCCGTGTTTTGCAAGGCTGTAAGGTCTTAAGGAGCTTCACCACTTTAGAACCCTGCTGTTCCTGCTCCTCTGGCAGCAGCCTCACCCGCCTCT